TGTGTGTGTGTGTGTGTGTGTGTGTGTGTGTGTGTGTGTGTGTGTGTCGAGAATGGGGGAGAGATCAAGCGACGCGCGAAAACTTTTTTCCCTTTTCTTCGCCCTAGCGTTACCGCGCTCACGTCCGTCCCGTGCTCCTTCGAACAAAATATTTATCGTCGCCGCGGATGTATCCTTGAAACATTCACGACGTCGCCCTCGAGACCCTTTCCGTCAACGAACGCTACGCCTCGACGAATCCGTTCTTACCGATATGCAAATTTGAAATTTTCACTCGCGAACGGACGACGATCGTTATGTACGTATGCCGCAGGATTCTTACCCATGGAGGCCTATTACCTACAGAGGCCTCCCTACGGTAGAACTACATTACTAATTTTCCCATCGTCATTGTTATTGTGTTCGACGCGTGTCTACATTTCGTATATATTCTATGTATATGATATGTTTATCGAATTACTTTATAGTATTCATATATATATATATATATATATATATATATATATATATGATATATTGAAATAAAACGAATAGAACAAATTGCATTAGGAGCAATTGTTTAACTTTCGTGTATGCGAAAGGGTGGTTAATATTGTCGTCTAGCGAAGCGATATATCACGGGAAAAATGTCCACCGGCGCGAGTAGTATTTGTGCTGTTGGGTCAGACGCTATAGCGAGCCTTCGTGAGGCGAAATAAGTCAACGGTATGGCACATTCTATTCCTACATAGTGGACCATTTTTCTTAATTTAAGAATGTTCTTTCATTCGCCATCCACCACTCGAGTAGACGCTACCACGTTCGGTATTAAAAAAAAATAGCACTTCGAGGAAAAAAAATCGTTTTAAATATAGTAGGTGTAGAAATTAATTTTGTGCCTCTTCATTCGCTTATATCTTTGGTTTAACATTCAAAAGTTTGTACATCGAGATATTCCAAATTACCATTTATCTAAACAAAATGATTTAAACGGTCCTTTTCACCCCCCATCAACCCTGTGAAATACCTAACATCAAAGCTTGTTTATATATTTTCCTATTCCTAAACGATCGTAACCTCCACTTATAGCATAGAAAAAGTACTATCATAAGCTAACACTTTGTTAACATTTTGTACAATCTGTATAACCGAAATAAACCTATAAAAGGTTTCAAAGGCTCAAATTAAAAAAAAAAAAAAAAAATGCCCTGTGAATTAATCAAACGAAAATGGGAAACCGGTTGTACGGTTTTCAGTCGTCGAGTCGTCGAAGAAAATGACAATTAGCGGGCTGCGCCCTTCGCGAAATGGTATCCTTAAAACAATAAAGGTCCGAGATGGGCAACGTGGGAGAAGATTTCAAGGATAGCCCCCGTGGATCTGGTCGGGTCATCGCGTGGGCACTTATTTCGTGGCACAACAGGACCCTCCACCCTCTTCACGCGTCCCACGCCGCTCGTGTGTGTGTGTTGGTTGCGTGTGCGCGCGTTATGTATCCCCTCTCTCCGCGTCACCGCGTTCGGTTGAGGTGGGGAGCGCGGCAAGGCGGCGTGTCAGAAGGGGTGAGGGTTGGCCGCACGTCGCGGGTGGTGGGGATGGTTGATCGACCGTACCCTCAGCCGGTTTTCTAGTCGCCCTGCCGAGCCCCGACGTTCATTCTACCTCGATCAGCCGAGCGAGCAACATCTCTGCAATCCCCACGGAGAAGGACACGGCGAAGAGCTCGAAGGACGTCTGGGGAACTAGAACAAAGTCGAGACAGCGCGAGATCGAGAAAGGTGAAATTTCCCTTTTACAGCTATGTATATCCTCTCTTTTTCTAACGATATAAGCCAATTATTCTCTTTTTCTCGCCGATTTATTTTCGCCGGAATTCGAATCGCGAATGTTAGGGAATGGGGTGGGGAAGGAGGAGAGCGAGGAGCGATCCTTCGATCGATTTAATTGCCCAACTTTCCGCGAGATAAAGGACGGCTAAAATTGTACGGTTATTAATAGAAAACCAGGAATAGGAACTCGAGTTGATTTTGTTTCGCGATTAGAACTCTTTATCGCCGCGGAAGCACGAAACTTTCGAGGACTACTCTTTCTAGCTGGGGCACCGTTTCCATGAATCTTCTTTTCGTCGCGAAATTATTTTCGTCTCGCGGTATATTTGCGGGACGCTCGAATTCCTTTGGTTTTCCAGATCGAGGATACGTCGTTGTTGCTCGGGAACGAAAGATGAAATCGCATTAATTTGTACAGTTTCATACGTTGTTACTATTTTTATGCATGGTATTACAATTTTATTATACGCGTTGATGGACAAAGACACTTGATATTTAATATTTAATTTAATTTGATTATTCGCTATCAGTACGTGGTATTATTTTCATAACCAAACAAAAATTATATTAGAAATTATAGTAATTCTAATGTATTTATTTTATGAAATACATCAACAGGATTAGGAAAAAAGAAACCTCATGCGCGTTCAGAGCAAAATAGGCAACTTCCGCGATTAACTTTGAATAATTTAATTAATTTAACTCTGAAAATGAAATGAAAAATTTTGTTGATAGAAAGGACAATATATTATTCTTATATATATATACATATATTACTACTCTCGACTAATATAAATATGAATTCTTGAGATGACTGTAAATGAAATTAATCATTTTTGCAATAATAAAAATACAGATTCTCAAGATAACTGAAAATAAAATTAATAGCTCATTTGTGCTAACAAGAATCTCATATTTATATTAGTACTCCGTAATAAAAGTATGATTTATTCTCACTACTAAAAAAAAAAAAAATATTTTTATAGGAAATTATATTATTAGGTGTAGAAATTAATTCTGCGCCTTTTTATATCGAATCATTTATAACTTCAGTTTAAGTAGAAATATTCAAGCGTCATTTTCTAGTTATATGTTAAATTTCCAATCTATACATATATTACATAACCCAAGTATTATATAATCAAAATTTTATGGTTACCAAATTACATACAGAAGTATTGCAATGGCCATCAGGTTGAGACTCAGGTCTGTATCAAACCATATACCGTAACAGAGACCAGTTTAATTATTCACAAGGTTCGTACTTTACTTACTTTAATTACGTTACCTTATCTTTGAATATAGAGGCACAGAATTAATTTCTACACCTAACAGAGATACATTTAATTTACAAATTTTACAAATCGTTACATCGTTTCTATCGTGTAAAGACACGGGAAGCGTGCACGAGTTTAAAGTTGCTCTGTAAGACTGTCTATAGATCGTGTAGGTCCGGAGCAGGTTGTTCGCAGTTGTAAGTTTTTCCTTTCTTCTCTCTCTTTCCTTTTTCTTTTGTAAATTTAACATCGCATCGACAGCTTTAATACGCTTATTACCGACGACTGTTAGGACCGGGGGAGTGCGAAGTGGTTGAATCTTATTACGAATCGTTGACTATTTAACAAACGAGAGGACTTGAGTTATTCGTTTAGTATCGTTGAAATTTTCGCATAAAGTAGCTTTAATTTGAACTTTGATACGGAATTCCGAGTGATAGTGTAAGATTTGTTGTTCTCGTTCTTAAGAACAAAGAAATTCTGTCGTCTTACGACGCGGTCGGATTTGTCAATGGAAAGTACGGTGAATGAAATGCATCTTTAATTGCGGGTCGCATAGATGCATATACAAACGCGATAAATGGCTATAGTGTTCCTAGACGCAACAAGTGTGCGATTTCTGGGTCTACTATATCCGGTTTGGTTTTATTCGCAGGACGGGTTTAATTGGCCCGCGTTATCTATCGAACGTTTAATCGTGCTTTCGCGGGAATTACTTGCTCGTGAATCGACCAGGTGTCGTACACTTATCATGAATATTCTGATTGACCCATTAACCATCGGTGTTCTATTTATTTATATATTTTTCTTTTTTTAAATCTCTTATCGTTTCATTTTTGAACTTCGTTTAGAACAAAAGCATACAAGTCGAAATGATGTATAGTATCGTAATAATGACGGAGAGCCTGGTTTACCTAATAAATATCAATGTTTAATTCAGTCATAGTAAAAAATATTACTCATAATATAATTCAAATATAATTCGGTCTCGTATTTATTACTATGTTGTTCATGTTTGTTTAAGTATATAAAAATATATATGAATTCAAGTAAATGTTACTTTTTATATTATCGTTAAAGTCCGGCATATTTTTTACTATATAATTTGAGTTTATCTATTTATAAAAGTATATATATATTTGTTTTAACGTCTGTTGAACGTTTGTTGAAACGACTGTAAATATGTTTATACAAATCTCGTCAACGTAATGGTTCGTTTCTTTTTAAATGGTTTAAATAGCAATTTACGGTAATCAAATTTCGCACGAGCGGAGTCGCTTCGAACCCTGACATTTCGACGGAAGACTCATTAGGCGCCGACGATTATGAGATCTAAACCCGCTACTCGAATTTAGTTAATTGAACGGTGATTAGCGACAACGCGAGCCGACGTAAACTAATTGCGCGTATGTTGCGGCGTGTTTGCAATTCAATTATCAGCGCCACTTGTTGGGCCTGGAGAGACACCAGCGTCTCGTGTATCTATGAAAGCGGACACAAACTGCAGCGAATTCGAAACTGCGCCAGTAATTCGATCCAATAATAATTAGTGTACCACCGAGCAGTCGTGGGAAAATTTTAATTGAAACGAAAATAAGTAATACCTGTTCGAGATGATTTATTTCGAATCATTATTTCCGATACAATTTGCATTTGAAAATGAAAATAATAACAATTCATACGAAGTAATCGATATTAGAAATAACGAATTATTTGGCCATTTTTTTTTATTTCGAATTTACCGAACGAAGTAATCTTCAAAATGATACGAAACAAAAGGGGTTTATTGTAAGAAATTCGCGAATGGATAAAAATCCACAGTCTAGTAATAAAAAAATGGCATCTTCAATTTTACTTGTATTTTCAACTCCCTTGTTTGTTAATCTTGAAAACAAGTGATAACGTACGAATCGATAATAATTCGATCACTCGCCATATACGTTTCGACTACTTCTACTCGCCAAGAAAGAACGTTCCCGTTGAATTTTCACGGGATCGTACGAAAACACTCGCGATCTCTTATAGTATGTACTTCCTACATAGTATGGCCGTTAATTTTTCACATGCAGTGGAAATAGATTCCTGACATTTCGCATTATGTGACATTTAAGCTTCTTTCGTAGTGACCTGCTATCTTCATTTGCTCGAGCACTTCGACCCGCGCACGGACGGGAACACTCTACACTAACGACCGCTCTTAATCCATTCATCTTTGACCCGTTTCAACCGTTGAAAAGATGCGACAACGTCCTGAATCCCTCTGATCCTTTCGCAACGATTCGATTCGCCGGTTATCTTCGAAAATTTATCGAGGATACATCGAATAAAATACCTGGTACCTCGACACGCTTCCAAGTACGGCCTCTTTCAAACAGAAATCTCCAAGACAGATTATGTCACGATTGATGTTCACTTTGGCAAGTGAATTTTAACTTAATTAAAAAAATAACGCTGGCTCCATGAAATATCAGGTTGATCAAAAAGTTCGTTCAGCTTACTAACTCCAGTTCGATTGTTTAGTATTCAAAGTCACTCGACAGTGAACGCTTAGCCTTGTTTATCGACTGCGGATTTTTAAGTCTGATTTTTTTCCAATTTTCATTTTTTGTTCGCTTTTTACCTAATAAATATCAATATCAACATTTGCAAACTGAAAAGAACTTGAAAAGGAGCGGTTAAACATTTAGAAGAATTATTTACGTCGGTAAATGAGAAGTCCTACAGAATAGTTGAATATTTCACGAGGGGTTGAAGTAATAAAAGAAATATTTATACAAAAGTGATTCGGTTCGGTGCTCGATTTACGTAGAGTTCTTGGAGAATCCACGTGTCAGGGTTTACCACATGGGTTCAAAGACCATCGTGAATGTAAATATTCATGCTTACAGATGACGCGCGAGTGGGTGTGGTTATTAACTCTGTGCTCCATCGTCGCGATATGCGAATCGTTGCCCACGAACCTGTCGGAGAACGCGAAAAAGACTGACCAAGCCATGAGACCAAAACGTAAGTCGTGATTCGATTTTACAGGAAAACGTACAGTTTACTTATCTTACCAGCGTGCTACGTCGACCTGCGTGCACTTGCATATACACTTCTTTCGAATAAAAGAATAATTACGTATAGTTGGAGGCAACCGTACGTGAAACTTTTCTAGAATAGCTAATAATTATATACATTTAGTTTGATTAAGTATATTCGTTGAATCGTAACGTTGTTCGACATTCTTGCTCGCGTTAGGGTACGTGAACGTTGAGAATAAGTAGAAAGAACGTGTAATGTGGTCAGACATGTTCAGTATATCACACGATTCTAAAATATTTGCCAATAATTTTCTTTTTATTCGATCGCTTATCGGGAATGCGTATTGTTCTCAGCTAAACGGGCACAGGAAATGTTGATGTTTGGCAATCAACAAAATCGTCAGGCGGACGGCAACGCGGGAGCATCTTACACGTCCAACGCGGAGAAGAGTAAGAAATAACGTGCACGTTATTGCAGGGAGAAAAAAAAAGATCAATCGTGGAAGCGATAGCCCTCTACTTAACGCGTGCTTTTCAGTTAATTGAACAAATTAATTCCGAAAGTTAAGTGTCTAAGAAAATGAATTCGAGATACTTAAATACTGAAATATTTAAATTTCGACGAAGTTACAGAAACGAGTAACATAATAAACGTTCGGTTACATAGTTTCTAATAGTCTTTAAACAAAATTTAATCGCAGTAGAAATTTTCGAGAGTACTAGTCTGGCAGTCGACGTGTTAAACCGCGACTGATCTTTCTTTGTCTCTGCAATAGAATATCTGTTAGATATTATTAGATAGAATATCTAATATCTAGATTATTATTAACGCAAAATAATGTTTTCTTTATATTCTTACTATATCTTTATGAAGCTATTACCAACGGATCGACGAGGCTTTCCCGTTGAAAATGAATGCAAATACAATCTTCCTTCGGATTATTTGCAATTATAAGCTATTCGCATAATTATTGAATCGTTCGAATTACGTATAATTAAAACTCGCCCAAATATGGTCGAGTTCGTACTCGTTTTCATCTGGAGAATCCCGTCAACGCTGTCCTGACATCGTCGAAGGGATACAGTTTCCTTGTTCTGATTGTTCTCTCCCTCGTTCCAGGAACTGCTTCCGCGTCAGGATTGGGTGGACTGAAGGTAGCCCTAGCCGAAGAAGAGAAGACCTCTCGCTCGAAGGAGCTGGGCAACGGTCTCTACGATCGGGATTCCTTTTCCCCTTACGACAAAAATTACGAGTGAGTGTTTCCAGAAAACTACGAACGCGATTTATCGCGGAATATCGACTCCCGAGCCCGGGACGCTCGTTTATCGTTACAGCTACGGTAAGGTCCTGATGAACGAGCTGGGCGACGAACTGCCCCAGGTCTGGGACGTTGCTCCGTATTCCCGTTACTACTTGAACGAGGAGCGTCGAAAGAGATCCGACAAGTCCGTTCTGGTTGGAACGACCACCATCAAACCGTCGACCACTTCGTTCCAGTCACCAACAGCCACGCAGCAGACTGTACAGGCGCAGATGAAGAGGAGGTAAGTCAACCATTTTCTTATTCTGCAGGACTACTTTGCGGTTAACGATCATTTGAACTTGTAATAGCAGGCGTAGAAATTATTTTATTATTTCAAGTAGAGGAAATAGCTTCGGATTTGTTACCGAGCTCATATATAAAGAGATAATTCAGATAAAAATTTGACATTCTTAATTTAATCAATTTCTACTGGAGTGATCTCTACTGGATATCTGGATTTCTACCGGTGGTTCGGGAGGTGATTTGAAACAACATTTTCGTTAAGGAAAAAAGTTGTTTCAAATCACCTCCCGAACCACCCCTTTCAAGGTGTTACAACATCTTTCGGACACCCTGTATTTGTTAGCCGGCCCTAACCCAATCATGAAAAATCGAGGCGGACGTCCTGGGACTTACACTTAGTCTAGGACAGCCTGTATGAATGAAACGCAGAGTGTCCCACGCAGAAAAAAAAAACCTTTTAAAGATACCACTCCGACCGAACCTCTTTTATTATCCTGGCGACCACTGAACCCCAGCGAAACTTCATCCATAGAGAATGAAAAACACCTCGTGCGACATAAACGAGGGGAAAAATAGAGGAAAAATAGAGGGGAACAAGCTGCCCCTGTGATCGAACGTTACCCCTCGAAGCGGGAAACCGCGTTATTCCAGCGGAAACAAACTCCGCTGATGATCAGCCACGATAACGACAGCCTCTCCAAGTCGTATCGAACGACTTGGTCGTCAAGTCGACCGCCGTTCCTGGCGGGGGCAACGCCCTCGCCAGCCCTCTCATCCCCATTCAAAAGAAACGTCGAAGAAAAAGAGGGATATCCCGAGCCAGAGGGCGGGAACGGGTGAGCTTCCGCAGGGGTGGGAATCGCGGACGGCTTGCACGAAGCCGATTCACCCTGCTCGCGGACTACCTGTTCCACAGGTGAATTCGCTCCGGCGCACCCTGACTGGGGTCGCGTGGAACGCAATTGGCGTCGGTGAGGACACCGGGGACGTTTATAAATTGCGCGAGGACACCTCTCCTCCTTACGTAAGATTTTACCTGGAGTTTTCTTAAAAAGCGTTGAACACACCACTCTGTACCAAAACTAATCGGAATGGGTATAGTTTAATAAATTTAGTGGCTGTGGCGGACAGTGGAGCAGTGAGTAGCGTAAGCGACTATCGCGCTGAGAACCTTGATTTTCGAATCGCGGCCGGTTCGCCGCGATTTTTCATGGTAAGATTACGACCGGCTAACAAATATAAACATTGAAAAGCCTACGTGGCATAGGATAAGCAATGGAAAAAATTAAAGACATTAAAAGAAAAAGAGAAATTGGGAATAGCAAACGCATAGTGGTGAAATTACGAGACTACAGTTCCCATTCACCTTAACCCTTTGCACTTCGAGAAGTGACTCCCAGTCACCGTTAGATTTCACGCAGCAAATCTACAATACCTAATGTTTCTAAACATATATATATATATATATATGATATATATATTAATAAATGAATTGACTATATTTAATATATATATATACATATATATGTATATAAGTATAGGTGACATGGCAGTCGACGCGATAAAAGTATAGAAGTAAATCCGTACGTGTACAACGAAACATAGTTAACGAGAGCTCCGTTTTTCTTTTTCTTTTTAACTGGGAAATATTTACTCCGAAAGCAATAGCAATCATCGGCGAACCTAAACGGACGGTGAAATTGGAGAGTTCGTTCGATAAATGGCGACGAATGGCTCGCGTCGTCAATTTAAATCGCAAGTCGATACTTTTGCTGGTCGAAGGTTGTCGATGGTATTTGCAGCGGCGACGCGTGACGTAAAATTGCTTTCATTAATTAAGTCTACGTCGTCGGTGACGTTCCCCGCGGTACGTCATAGCGTGATCAATTATTTTCAAGTCAGCCGATAGAGCTCTTTACGTCAAACTTTTATTTTTACGCGCAAACCTAGACACGAGTGTGCATTTCCTGACCTGTAAATGAATGTCACAGGTCACCAGCTGCGCGCATACTAATTTCCCATATCTAGAGAAACGGAGTCTCGTCGAAACTTGCGGAGAAACTAGAGGCAAACAACGGGGAGGAAATACTTTCGACAAAGCATCACGAAACTGTCAAGTCCGTGACGCGGGTGTTTCGATTCAATTTCTTTCCACTGATCAATTCACCGCGCGCGCTTATGTCAATTCATATTTTTACGTACATACACAGTAAATGAGTCGAAACTTGAACGATGGTACGTGTTATCTTCTAAACGGTATAATATGTACGGTCTGACTATGTCTATCGAAGACACATGTCTAAATCAAATTATACGTTTGATGTTTCCAAATAAATTTTCCATTATACATAACATGTACACGGATAAACTTTACGCATGTATTCAAAATGATTCATTCGATATTTCTTGGATGAATATTTTGTCGACATATGCACGTTTTAAAAAATTTCTCACATCATCATTCGCCAATGCTCTTATTAACAATCTGAAAAGATCAAGGATAACAATAAATAAATATCTTTCGCGTTTTCATTCCTTACAACATGGATATTTAATGACAAAATTTGAAAGAATTCCGTAATTATGGCTATTTGCGCAATCACTTAAGAAACTAGAACCAGCTAAAATTGCTTTTATTAAAAGCTCATCTAAAGCTCGCCGATGGCAGCGTTTCGTTTAAATCCCAGTTAGTTCTAAATTGATTCGCAAACGCTGAGAAAACGCAAAGTACATCGCTAACGAACTTCTCCGTATACTAATTACGAACGTAACTTCGTCAGAGCAAACTTAAATTAACGAAAGTCGTTGGAAAACGGTCGTTACAGATGCCACCGTGCACGCGGCACAGACCTCTCGCTGTCAACCTTAAATAAAAAAACAACAGCACATTCAACTTCACCGAAGAAAATATTTTATAAATAATACATAGATAGAATAAAATATAATAATTTATTTCTTATCGTAAATTTCAATCGAACGCAACGAATAATATATTTGCGATTTCTTTTTTTTTTTTTTGTTTAAATCGACACGTTTTACTTCGCTCCATAAAGTACGCAAGACGGTCGGGAAATCGCTGGGAGTACAGCGGCGTAAGAGGCGCGTGGGCGGTCAGGGTGTCGGTGCGTGGGTGTGTTTGTGCGCACAGAGACGATCGTACGGGGTACACGCGCACAGTTTGGTGCAGTCATCGAGACTCGTTCGATACCCGTGACGCAATAGAGGTAGACTTTCCAAGGGGTGGGTCCACGAAAAGCTGAATGGGAGCCGGGCAGCGAAATGTAGGTCAACCTCGACTATTGCTCGACGTATCGCCAGCCAATCAGCTGACGAGAATAGACGCCTAGTTACTGTCCTAGCTTTCCGCGAGATGCATGATAATTCACGGAGCCACGGCTGAATTCGGTGCCGGGAACGTCGTCGTCGACGGAAACTTGGAAAACGATGCATCGTACGTGCGAATCACGAACCTCGAAACTCGACCAGAGATTGCTTACATTTTATTCCGATAATTGACGACGAATGAAGTATACGTACCGAACGTATTAGCAATTCGTAACTTTTATTTAAGAGAACAGTTAACGCTTGATTTTATGGAGCGTATATTCATTTTGACTCGTTCTAAATTTCGCAATGTTTCGCAGAAATATTTTTATATCTTTCCCCTGCCACTTATAACGACGTTTATCGATTTAGGGAAAAGCGTATATTTAAATTGATCTTTGTCCGAGGCTTTTAATTTGTTCTAGTAAACTGACTTCATTTATTGAAATATTGTTTCAGGAGCGTGCAACTGCCAAAAAGAAATACTTTTCGTATGTGTAACAGCGTGTATTATTCTAAATAATGATAATAACAGTAGCGTGCATCGTTTAAAAAAAGTAACAGTCCGTTTCGAACATTTTTCTCTTCGACCATACGTCGCTTGGTGAGAAACTGTTCGACTGATTCCGCGTGTAAGGTGTATGTATCGCATTTGACACGGAGCGAATAGATATCGTGGATCATATCGTACACGAATGTACTCTAGCGAAACAAGTCGGAAAGCTGAATGAAACCACCTGACGAGTCGGAACGTTTTGGCATATATCCAGCCAATCAGCTGACTGTATTAGTCGGCGGCGTTATATCGATCATCCGCAACGGAGCATGCACTAGGCATGCTCCACGGACCTGACCTAGGACAATATCCTGCCAACGGCTGGCGCAAACGCGTACGATCCACTCTCGTTGTATCGACGCTTTAGGATTCGCGTTCTTTTATTCGATGCGCTTTTCATTCAGGATACTTTTCCTCTTCAACAGTCACGGACAAAAAGATAGAACGTCCTACTAGTTTTGGCATTTTTTTTATGTCGTTGATAACATAAACGAAAGTCGTTGCATTCGCAACAATTTGTACTGTTTTCGTTCGTGGGTTCCAGTTGTTTAAACTAAAATATCGATGTCTGAAATGATTGACTTTAGGATTTATTCATTTCTATATTTGTAATATTCGTTCTTTAACCCATTGCACTTGGATGTCCTCTATGAAAGGAGAATCGTAATCTAATCGCGAGAATTTATAATCAAGTCTAAAATATTACTAAAAAAAGACACGTTTCCAAAGTTACTTTATGTAATGGGATTCCTGTTCGCAAATTTAGCAACGAGACGAGACGAAGTGCAAAGGGTTAATTCAACATTCGAATTCATCCAAATTCATCCGAATTCGTTCGAATTGTACAGCCCAGGGACGATAATATAGAACACCCTATTCATTTTTACATTTCGATTAAATAGGTAACGTAAACGCTTGTTTCAGAAGAGTTCAATTAAACGAGTCTTTTGGTCTGCAAAATAAATTGCGAACGTTTGAATTAAAGGTGGAAATTGCTCGATTGTTTTCAGCGTTCCGATTTACCAAGAGCCACGATTCAAGAGGGAATTAGACATCGATCCAGAGGATGTGTTGACCCTGCTCTCCCTCTGGGAAAACGAGCGTCGTAATCGGTGAGGATTATATTCGATTAATGTTAATTACGAACTATGTAAATTTTCGAGACGGTAGTATTGCTGTTTCGAGTAAGCTGTTATTTATTTATGAGTTCGACACCTTGTTTCGGAATCTTTGCCAGAAAAGTAGGGAAAAGTAGTAGCTTCCGAGGGGAAATATTTCGATCGATACTTTTATATACTTTACTGTTACTATTTACTTTGAAATAAATGCTCGAAACAGACGAAAGGAGGACAGCGGCTTGCGATGCAACCTCCTAATATACATATAAAAACAAATCACTGAATTCTGTTGTTGAAAAGTCATCAATTTTTGTACAGAAACTGGCACAAATACGTGAACGACGAGTACGAGAACGTGGACGACGACGGCAACATCCTCGAAGAGGAGGCCCCTCGAAACAGTAAGTCGAAGAGAATAGATCAAATCTGAGCGCTATGCGATCGTTCAGCGCACGGTGACACCCAGTTCTAATATAGATCGAATTAATTAAATATAAAAAGAAATGTTCGTTTCGTCTATCTATTAGGTATAGAAATCTTCTTTTCGGTTTTTAGAATTGCTAAGCTAAAAATAATGTATATACCTTTACATTTTGTATCAAGCAACAAAAGCAAAAAAGAGGTTTAGGCATACGTAACGGGACAGTTGCGACGGCTGCCCTTCACAAAGTTCATTTATATTTAGGTCTACATTTTTTATTGGGTTCGATCGAATGTCTGACGTTACATCCAGCCCGACTCCTATATTTAGTTTCCGTTGGTATTAAAGGCAAAGTTCGGTTTCGCGCAGAGAAACATTAATCCAAACATGGCTCCGATCGGACTATTTTTGATTACACATCGTTCGAATCATTTTTTAGTCATTAAAACTGCGTCTAATTAAAATGATTTCGAGTATAGTCGTGTTTGGACTTGTTTTTATCGCGAAAATCTGACGAACTCGTTGCTAATACGCTCGCGAATACGATAGTGATTCAATAATAGAATAATAATTCAATAATAATATTAATAATATTTATAATAATATTCGTTGTCTTATAAACTGCTATTACATGTTTGAGTTTTTCTTTTAACGGAATATTTGGGTGTTTCTATCTAAATTAAACGCTCCACCCTGAATAATCACTTAAAAGCGACAACTGTGATACTTTTATCGTCCAAGAAAACGTGATTGATTTCATTAATCATCCTCTCGCAGTCATTCCATGGGTGGAATCCCCGTTGTATCCTCATCGTCGATACAGCGTCGATTCCCTGTCTTCGTCCGATATCGGAATTGTACGTACCCATCCGCCGAGCTATTACGAACAATACGGCAACCAGTACGCTCAACAATACGAGGGCGGTTCTCAATACGGCAGCCCTCAATACGGTCTTGTTTATCCTAAACAAACGTACTACAACGCGCCAGAGAAGAGGTTCATGGTCACCAGGAAACGCTCGCAGGTAACGCGCTACTACTGATTCTTGGTACGCTTGTAATCCGTTAGAAGGAAAATAATAAGCGAAATTGTACGGCTAAGCTGTATAAAATTTATATCGTATATCTAGATAAATTATAATACATTGATAAATTCATTTAGATACATCAGCTTGAGAACTTAGAAAAACTAACACTTTAACGTAACAACGCGACAAATAAATATTTCTACTCCAACTAAGAAACAAACAAAATAAGTTACAAAGAAAAATAAGTGAATCGAATACAGAGGCATAGAATTAATGTCAACGCCTATTAATAGTCATCTATTAATACTGATCAGTTTACTCTTTTGTTGCAGGCGTACGACCCCTACTCCGGCGCTGCTCAGTTCCAAATCAGCTCTCAATCGCGAGGATATCCCTACCCACATCGCCTAGTCTATTAAGCCATCCGATTCTGCTCGGCAAACTAAAGTAACGAAAAGAAACAGAAAAAGAGATCGAGAAATAAATTATCGAGAACGTATTCGGGGTAAACAGCGAGAGGTATCCAACAGCGACGGGAGAAAGAAGGGTAACGGAATTTACGTTTTCGGACTCTCGTACAACACAAAACACGATTTCGCGGTCTTTTCGGCGAGGTTCCTCTCTGACGTCTCCCCCCATCCCCCCCCCCACACCTCCACCCCCACCCCCACCCCACAATCATATTTTTAGTCGTTCTGTCTTTGTTGCGAACACAGCGATACGTGCTCGAGTAGCGAAACAAGAAAAGACTACTTCTTACTTTAAGAAACACGGTGCTCAGAAAGACTTTTCACTAGCTACAAGAGTCTGCTGAAGAGATAACAGATCACTCGCGTCTTAATCGTTTAGCGGCGCCGCATTGATTCACTTCCGTTAAAATCACTCCGAATGATTTCCGTTGTAACGTAAATTTTCGTTTGGATACGTGTACCGCAGAAATGTCGAGATTCTTATACGATCAAGGGAACGTCGTCGCTCCGAAAATATCGAACGTTTCGATGTCCATTTTCTATGGAGAGAATATTAACGTCGATCGCGCGATAATGATTAAGGTACCACGTGAAAGGATAACTCGGGCGCTTTCACTTGGGTACTTCAGCGTGCTCTTGTACCTTTTCGCTTGAAACGGTGAAGTTACAGTATTTAAGCACCTCGCGCGTGCAACGCCCGGGGCGCAATTGAGAAACCCCCGGCGATCACGCCACGACTGAAATCGTTAAACAATCGTAGTACTCGAATCAAACTACCCTCAGGCTTGGTTTACGATTTTTCTGACTGATATAAAAGACGAAGATTAACTATTTTCCATGGGGCTAGCTCGAACGGCGTAGACGTAGCATTCCATCCGATAGATAACCGTAGAACTTGAAACGAGAGACGGATTATTGGCGTTGTTGATCGTATTCGAACGTTCGATAAATATTTCTGAAATTTCTGGTTGACGCCAGAGAGAGATTATACGGATGAAGCGGAGGAGCCTATAGGGGCCTCTGTAAGCGAAGATTGCTGACGCGACGAAAGAGAGATTTCAGAAATATTTAAGGAAAGAAGATGTCCAACGAGGAGAACAAGGACGGGACTTTCGATCCGTGGATCGTAAAGAACGACAAGTGATTTTAGGATACGCGAATTCAGAACGAAAGACAAGGAGGGAAGATACGTAGTTTCTTAAGCTATCGTTCGTTTCGCGCCAATGGACATTGTTATATGCATATTGTCCCTAGGGATGTTCGAGTCTAACACGATTTTCTAGAAAATCAGACTTTTTTTTTTTTTTTTTTTTTTTTTGAAGTAACAACCGATTTTTGTACCTCGATCTCTCGTGAAATATGAACACGGTTTTCGATCGTTATTTCAATCGGATTACATCGTTTAATGCGCGATTACTTAACAGTAATTGATTTATCATTTAATTTTTAGCTCATTTTTGTCGTGTATAATATCTGAAATACAAATACTTTTGAAGTTGAGACTTTAAAAATATGTAATACGATTAGTAAGCAGAGAAACAATTTTTCGAATTGATCTTTAAGATGTCGTTTCTTTTAGCAAATTTATGCCAGTCGATTCGGTTGAAAATCGATTTTTGAATCGAACATTCCTAATAGTCTCTAATATATCTGGCGTCAAGAAGCAAGCAGCGCGATCGAAGTTCGATTGAGGCTTGTTCATACGATTCATGTTTGTACCTCGTCAGTTTAATTTACTTTGCAAACACAGATATACTGGCTGTCCCGAAAATGTTGTAACACATTGAAAGGGGTGGTTCGGGAGATGATTTGAAACACCTTTTTCCCTAGCGAAAATGTTGTTTCAAATCACACCCCGAACCACTCCTTTCACGGACCTCCAACATTGTTTAGACACCCCGTATGTATATATCGAGGATAGCAAACGAACAGTGTTATCGAGTACTGAAAATATCAGTTTGAATCCAAAGGTACCTTCGGTGTTAAACGCTACAACATATCTTCTATTGGATTCACACTTTATATTCGACGTGTAACAATATTCTCCTAAACCTCTACCATTATGTTAGGCGTAGAAATTAATTCTGTGCCTCTATATCCAATCATTCGTGACTTCAATTTAAGGAGAAATATTCAATCGTCATTTTGTTATCATTAAACTGCGAATTTTATGCATCTACGATATAAACTAATATAATCAGCACGTACTAAACGTAACCAAAAGTTATGAGCACTTATGCAAAATGAAACAACAATATTATTGTAATAATTGTAGAGTATATCCAACATACATTATGTATAATTTATGTATGTTCTCTATATTATTTTATTCATTAAATGCACATCATCCGCAGTTTGATTATTATATGTTAAATTACATATCATTACAGTCTCCATTACAATGAATTTATATTGTATAATCAAAGTCCTAACCTAATGACAATTACAACTGTACGCATATGTATGTACGAAGATTGGTAGCCATACATCTTTACTTATTATTATTATTATTATTATTATTATTATTATTATTATTATTATTATTCTAACAGATAGTACACTTGATAATTACAGTAATTGTAGTAGAGTAACAATAACAAAACATTTGATGGCCACTACAGTTCGTATAGATACATTGCAACGACCATCAGGTTGAGACTTGTATAGATATTTAGTACAAAGCAGGCTCATACTTTAACATGCCATTACGCCGATTTGATATGTCTATTTAAACTAGAGTTGTGAACAATTGAATACAAAGGCACAGAATTAATTTCTACGCCTAACACTTTAAATATAATCGTCAATTAATTTTCTAATCGTGAACGACACTAATACACGTATGCCTGCGCTAGTAAGTGGCAAGAATTAATTCGACGAGCGTTTAATGCATATCTCGATAATGTTCACTTTCGAGCTCGAAGTTCAAGTTTTTTGCACCTTGATCTGAAATCGAGATTCCTACCACTTTGTGCTACAGGTTATATCTATCGAATTGCAACCAACGCTTTGTAATTTTTTATATAAAAGCGAACGTACACAATTGCGTGAACATCCCTCGAGAGGTTAATTTTCAAACGTAACGATATAATTTTACTCTCGGCACGAGACGTGCGCAAGTTCTGTTTTAGTGTAATATTTTAATTCTACAAGGTATTGTGATCGCAATTAACGGTAATTTCGACACTAAAGTAAATGTACACGTACGTGTCAGTATCCCTCGCGAAGTTAACCGAAACACGACGATGCAGTTTTACTAACGGTACGAAATATGCGTACGTTTTCTTTTAGCTGGAATCAACGAAGGCGTCTCGAGAACCTAAATCTCCGATGAATTTTCGATTCCTCGCGTCGAAAGCAGCGCGTTGGCAACTTTTTTCAAAGCACAAAGCCAACGTGACTCGATGATAAGAGGGTTGTACGGCAAACGATCAAAATCAATTGAAATTTTCACCCGACTTGCGAGTGTAAAGTGTGAAATACCTTTTTAACGATAATCCATCGTCTTACCAATGCCACTGAGAAATATTATGCAAGGGAGAAACTAATGGGGAAGTACGGGAACGTACTTGCGAACGATAGCGAGTTAAATCTGACGATTCTTTTCCGATTGAAACCAAACACGGCCTTCCATTGCAGCAAACGTTCCGAGGAGACTGAATAATTCTTTTCGCTTCTTTTAGTATTTCTTTCTTCTTTTTTTCTGCTATTGTTTCTCGTCGTCTGATCGATACGCTCGAAACGTCGCGTGTGATTTTGCGACGGCTGACGAAATTAGATAACGAAAGGATAATTAAAAAAAAAAAAAAAAGAAAAAAAAAATGGACAAATCAAGACAAGTAACGAGCGGACGACTGACCGATCGGCACAGAACGATCGGCGTGGAAAGAAAACCTTTTGTGACTTAATGCTATATATTTTTGACGATCGTTTAGCGTGTAATTAGATTTACTTCTAGACTAAGTATTATCGAAACGATGAAAATAAATTCAGTATTTATCGTATATGTAATTAATGTTACTATAGATGACGAGAAATGTCGATTAATTATCGTGCAATTGAAGGGATAACCAATCAATCGGGATTTGCGTTTCATTGGTAAAGATTTTGAGCTGGAAAACGCGGCTAATTTCGATGAAAATTTTCTCCGTTTAGAGCTTTTCTCGTTCGATCGATGCTCAGTTGAACTGTAAAACGTTTCGATCGCAAAATCTTTCACAATAAATAAAAAGAAAAGGTTAAAAAAGAGAGAGAAACTATCCGAACGAGTTAGTTTTCGACGTGACTGTCACGTCTTTTTTCGAAAATCTATAGAGAGACATTGTATTTTTACTGTAAAATTAATCCTCGGACAGCGTATATTTTTTTAGCAAAGAAAATCACGATCGTTGCTTCTCGAAGACTAAGAAACAAAACAAAAAAAAAAAAAAAAGGAAACACGTCCTCGAAGAAGCGTTTCGTCGTTGAAATTTTTAATGCTGGATACAGAACCATGGTGAAAGCTGAAAACAACTTTTCGATCGAAAATCCTAGCGTTGATGCGCGTCACCGTGACGATAGTCGTTATTAAAGTTCTCCTCGTACGATTTAAGGATCCACTTTCGTCTCGACGTGCGCGCACACGAAAGCGAGAAATACCTCCTCTAAACTATTTTAACGCATGCTCGATCCTAAACGTGAAAAATAAAATCCTGTTTCGATACGACGTTTAAAACTTCGAATGAAAACAATTACGTTACTAACGGTTAGTAACATTTTTTAAACGAGGTAGACGGACGATTTTCCAGATTTGCTAAAAAAAACTTCTTGTTATCGATTTTACGGAACTATATTGTATTCCAACATCTTTGACGATGTAGCGTTAAGGGGAAACTTCCGTCTAGAGACGTGATTTTTAGGTAATTTTTCGGATTGAACGGAGAGGAGGAGGAGGATATCGCAAGATCCTTTCGTAATGCGGTTTTCTTTTCTACGTATTGGGTGCTTTCCAATTACTTGAGGAACACCACTGCGAAGAGTTGAAAAATTGGTAATTTTTGTAATTCATTTCTTTGAATTAACATCAATTAGACGTTCTTAAATATTCTAGTTGCCTGGGGCTGTAACTTTATTACTTCAACGAATTTAAAGAAATTCTGTTACTCGGTTATTCTCCGTGTCATATACTTTCGAAACGTCTAAAAATGAATTGATCTCTTCAACCCTCTAGATGAAAATTTCCCCTTAAACGTGCAAAGAAAGACCTAAAAATATTTTTGCTCTAGGAAGATTTATCGAAAAATAGCGGACGAATAATAGCCAGCGAAATTGGTAGTAACACGTATACGGTCAGACCCCATATAACACAGTTGAAACCGATACAAACCTGAAGAATTTACTTCGAGCATTCGCATCGGTTTTTAGAATTCGCGGATAGACACGTTGGTAGCCACGTCGCCCAGAAATGGGCGAGAGGCCTTTTCAATTGAGGAACTAAAGGAATTAACTGCGTAGGCGAGTTCTGAAAATAAATCAGGATAGGATCCGTGAAATTGGCGAGGTTAAGAAATCAAATACTACGACAAATGATAAATTACCTAATCTTCGATATTCTCGAGACGTAATTTAAACTTCGTGGAAATTTTCACGAGCTTCGATTTAGCAGCCAACGTGTTGAACTAAAAATAAGACGAACATTTATTCAGAATTTCTGTAAATCTAATCCAAGTTACGACAACAATACGCATTCATTAGAAAGTTTACGCGACCGTGTTATATGGAAACCTTTATCGTGTTCTAGGATTGTCGCAATTTTGCGTCATGTTCTAAGAGGATGGACTGTACGAATAAATGTCGTTACTTGTACCGACGATGAACAATCGGTCGCCAATTACTACACGACTGCGTGTACTATTAAGAACACGTTTAAGAAAAAAAAAAATGACAAAATAAAAAGGACAAAAAAAAACAATGAAACTCTATGTCGACTATCTTACTTTAAAAATGGATATACGACTTATGTGTGCATATTATTACATAATGTAAACGTTCGATTCTATATGCGTGTGCATTTCAAATCAAAAGAAGTTGTGTGTCACTCGGCGCCGTAAATATTTTTCAAACCAATGGTGCTTTCGATCGAACGATATATAAAATATTGTAACGAAATAAACAAATAATAAAAATAAATATCTATATTCTATCCAGACGTATACCTTCCCATAATAACGATTTGCTAGGATTAACACTTTGAAATCGAAGTATTTGAATCGAAACAATTACAGTTGTGATTATTATTAAAGTCGAGTGTTACTTTATCCAACGTAGTAGTTGTGAAATCGAACACGCGACAATTTCGAAATGACAATCAAGACAATAGGGTTGCCGCATAACAGGGACACCACCGCGCCTACGAGACGGCAACCGAACCGACAAATCTGTTAGCACAGGTTGACGCATGTTAGGGGCCTCCTACGCCTGCGAGACGACAACCGAACCGACAACCTGGCAAGCATGGGTTGTCGCACACTGGGGCCTCCCTGCGCCTGCGAGATGGCAACCGAAACGACAAACCGGCTAGTGCGGGTTGCCGCATGAAAGGGGTATTTGCTTTAACGGTCCGAAGTCCTTATAAAAAAAATCAATTGACTACTTCCTGAGAACCGTAGCAAGTTCTTTGTCTTGAATTATTGTGACGACTGATGTAGAAAAAATGTTGATCGCTACGGATTCGAATTTCTTTACTTTGAAGATCTTTAGAAGGAACGTCCGTTGCCGTTTCTTCTTTTCGCAAGAAGGTTCGAGGACTTCGCAGACAGGACATTCAACCGGAACTACCCTGATCGGTCTCTATCCTGCCTTCCTCGAACGATACAAGATCGGCCGTGGTATATGCGGCGAATCAGCTGATCCAGAAATCGAAATATTGATACAGTAAATGCATATTACGTTTTTATAACACTCCATGCTTTTCAATTTGAATTTTACTGATTGCGAATTAGCTGAAAAATGGCGGAACCGGAACTAACCTTGAAGTTATTTCGTAACTCATATGGCGGTGGCATTCTAGATGCATCCAGTATATGTATTTTTAGGTCCATGGTTTGAATTACCGCATCGTAAAGTGGGAATTACTTTGGCACCTTATGGAGTATCCTTGCACCAATAAATTAATTATCATAATGAAAAATTTATGTTGATCTTTTCGGGATTCGATGCAAAGATACTCCATAAAGTGAAAAATAACTACATTTTTCGTAGTCCAATATGTCCATAATTTTGATTTCATAGAGTAACGATATTGTCCGCGCCTCACAAACATTCGCTGGGATTGCTTCTCGAAATTGTTTTATCTACGCAAATACCATATTGGATATATTATACGTATTCAACTAATATTCCTTGGTGACGAATAATGAAACATAACCTCTTCGAGTTCTATTAACTATTTATGTACACATTCGATACTTGAAATAAATGTATATAATTATAAAATGATTTCCTTCGTTAGACTTTTTCTCTTTATTAAACATAATCAATCCAATTTACAGATGAAATATATCTTTAATAAATGGGCGCATTGAAAACGCACCTAGAACGTACGTTTCACATGTATGCACGCTCTGAATTACTCTGAACGTGCAATTACGAAACAAATATGAAATAATCCACCGATAAGAATAAAAAATATTTCGCTTTGTTACACATAAAATTAAACAAGGAAATTAGTAGCACTGTAAAAAAAAAAAAACGCTTTGAATTTTATCGTCCATTTCATCGAGCCGTTATTACATTAAAACTGAACATCGTCTAACTTTCCAAGCATGACATTTGGGATGCATCTAACTCGCTTATGGTTGCTTATCTATATACCTGGCTCCGTACATGTCTCGATCCAGAAGTGATGTCTACTTTTCAAAGTGCGAGATTTTGATGTGCATTGTGTTACGTGCAGAACGGGGTGTAAAAGGGGACATGAAAAATGTTTAATTAAGTGGTGCTTCGGTAAGACATGAAAACAAGAGGGAGGGTTTGTTGGTTAGTGGGGATACCCGAAGAAATAATGGATTTAGATGAATTGATATACACGGATTCGTCTAGATATACTTGCATCAGTATGTACTCAACTAAGTACCGTAACAGCGTAAAATTTTGATTGATTTTTAGTTTAGAAGCAGAACTCTGCTCGTGATGTCTCGCTAGCGACAACAAAACAGTTTCTGTTTGTACGAACTGTAACCTAAGAACGAAACCGAATGACTGATACGATCAAGATGTTTACGAAACGATCAATCGGTATCTCAATTAATTTGTGGACGAGTAGATTGTGGTGATGATCGTTGTGCAACCCTAGTATTTATATTCCATGAAATTGAATTAAAAAAAAAAAAAATATTCTTCAGACGTTTCTTACATATTGTACACTGATTGTATAACTTATCAAATTATGTATCCCCATTGTCACTCTGTTGCATGGTGCCTGTTCATGGTAATATGAAAATTATGTGTTCGTTGCGCATTGTTGTAGCAGCACCAAGTTGTTCTTGGGTGCTTTAGTAAAGCGTAAACGTACACTGGCTCACGGAAAGAAACTTTAAACGATTATTTGTGCTCTACGCTAGAGCTCATTAATTGTAGTGAAGGTGCCATGAAGTAAAATCAAAGGATGATGATGGGCGATCAGTTTCGTAGCAAAGTGGAGCAATACTCACCAAAGTCATCACCCAGGGGCGCACGTTCCCCTGTTGTTTCACGTCAGGATTCGACAGGGACTTTGAAAACGACCATTTCCCTGGGAAAGAATCCATCTATTGTCCATAGTGGGCCTTTTTACTTGATGAAGGAACCCCCTGGTACAGTTTTATCATTATGTTATCGATTATTATAGCAAATTTCTGTTACATTTCATTGAATCTTTCAGGAGAAAGTGAACTCACAGGGGCGACAAATTTAATGGCCTATTATGGCCTAGAACATTCTTATAGCAAATTTAGTGGAAAGAAACTCAAAGAACAACTTTCTTCGTTCTTACCTAATTTACCTGGAATCATAGACAGACCAGGTCATCTAGATAATAGGTGTGTTGACATAATTTTAAATTACATTGATTATTGCATTGAACATTATTATCATTCTTTTGTATTTTAGTTCATTGAGATCCGTCATTGAAAAACCTCCTATAGGTGGGAAAGAATTACTACCATTAACCAGCGTTCAGTTAGCTGGTTTTCGCTTGCATCCTGGACCTGTAAGTATATTTCCTTGCATCATGGGAGACAATTTGTCAAATAAAATATTTGCATAAAATTAAGAAATTATTTTATGATTGTATAGCTACCAGAGCAGTATCGCTATGTCAATCAAGCCCCACAAAGAAAGCATAAGAACAAACATAAAAAGCATAAACACAAGCCGGGCGAGGTACCTAGTGGACAAGAAGCGGCAACAACAGATATCGGTGGTCCGGATACTCACGAGAAGAAGCATAAAAAGCAGAAAAGACACGACGAAGAAAAAGAAGCTAGAAAGAAACGTAAAAAAGAGAAGAAGCGTAAAAAACAGAAACATAGTCCTGAACACACTGGGGGATTAACACCATCTCAGCATTCCAATTCGTGATCTTTAATCTTACCTTTTCTGTTTGTATCTCACTTTTGACCTGACATTACGATTTTCATAGACGCAATTAAGTTCTTCCGTTTTCATTAAGGATAAACACATGTACAGACAATTACTAGATTTAAATATCTTCTACGTAAATTATATTGAAACGTTCGAGTTATGTAATTAGTGATGGGCGCGCGAATCAGTGTTTTATAAGAGATTATAAAAACATTCAAGACTGTGAACATTCGAATCGTTTTAAACATTATTCGGTACCAACAGATTTTTAAAATCTTAATAGATTTTGAAACGTAACGAATCTTAAACATTTTGCATAAATAAATACATTTATTAATTCATAAATCTTTTCATTAATATTGTTTATCAAACACGAGCAAATTATGCGTTACTCATAGATCTGTCAATTACTTATAAATTTTTGTTAAATTAATAAAGCGATTTACTTGTAGAAATTTTATAAATTTAACAATTTGTTAAACTTTAAATAGCTAAGTGTTAAATGTACCTTTGAAAACAGCAATTAATGAAAAACTTTGTTAATCTATAAATGCATTTATTTATTTATGCAAGAAGAAGAAATCCATTAATATCTGATATCGAATAAAGTTCGATGCAGTTCGTTTTTGATATTACAGATAATCATCGTATGCAAGTCTTGTTCTTTTTTTATTTTTTGAACTTGATTATTTGTGTCCTTCATTCGTGTCATTCTAAATAGTATATTTTCAATCGATACCTGATCTTTGATAGTAGCAGAGTGTTCATTTTTATTTTCATTATATTGGAAGATGTAAAATTCGGTCCTACAAAAAGTGTACACTACGAGTATGTAATATAGAATCGACTGTGTAAAATGAATTTGTGTTTTATGTGTATAAGTACGTACACAATTTACGTGCACTGCAATATACTGTTTAGCCCATCAAGACGATTCCACGATTTCTGATTTTGTACTGATATTTCTAAAAATTATGAACGAATCGTGAAGAAATTAAACATCTTGATGAGTTAATAGGATACAGGTTTGAATCATTAGTGCAAACAAGGAGTACTACTGTTGATGTAAATATTATGTATTGAAAAGACAGTAACAGAAAGCAAATGTCACTGCATTAGAAGTAATGTTTTTAATCTTGACCATCAGTATGCAGTGAATTTTGCTAATAAACAAAAAACCAAAATCTTGCATTGCACTGAACAAATTTAAATTAAGCGTAGTATTATGATACAATGAATAATAAAAACAAATTAAGTTCAAGAGTGATTATGATCTCCCACGCTTTTTCTTCTAGGTTACGTCTCGTTTCTTTAAAGATGATAATAATAACGAAACACTGCTGTTATTTAAATAGCATTTCGGTTATATTTATTTCCAATATTGAATATTAAGGTATGACAATTTTAAATAGAATAATTCTATTACTCACATTTTCGAATACTATTCAAAAATTTATAATCTGAAATTTATTTATTATTCCCCTCCCCTTTCATATGCGTTTGTCAATCTTTTTGATCCTCTACTTGAGACACAATTATCAGTAATTTTCATATCGTTCTGTTATATTTATTAAATTCTAATATTTAAATTCATTAATTTTCAAGTTAGGATTTACACTTTAATGTTTCATTATAATAAATAAATACAGAAGAATGTCGTCCACAGCAACCATAACTGTTAGACGCGCGGCGTCCATATGGATTACTTTGACCACAAGTATTTAGAGTTAATTCTTCGCACTACTGTAATCTCTGTTCCCTAATTGTAAATTGAAAAGGCAAGTACAAAATTTTACTAAAATATGTCTAACCAAGTTATGGGGGAACAAACATTTAGACAGACAAACAAAAATATTAAAAATAATCTTGCAAATTTATTCACTCGTTGCAAATCAGCTTTAACTATAAAAAGATGAAATTGGGGGTTTTTGAATTTCAATTTCCAGATAATACTGCAGTCAACCGAGGTGATAATTGCAGTAGTCGAAGCGCCATCTAGGAAAGAAGACTTCCGTTCTCGGCGATCGACATCCGGCAGTAAAACGCCAAGTTTGACCATTGAGCTCAGCTCGTTCAGAATCGTGGTTGGAAAGTCGCTCGGTTCCCGCCATTACGTGCTTTTTCTACCGTGTAGCGATTTGATTACCGGAGGAAGGCACGATGACGGACACCCGTAAGTAAATCAATATTGTACCATTTTTACACTGAAAGACGCTATGAATCTATCCTAATAATGTAATATCTCTTTTTATCGAATCGTGTATTTCATTGAAGACTTTACGCGTAGTATATATTTTGCCTAGCTTCTACAATTGCCACGTTCGACGTTTTAACTTCGTAATTAATCGATGTTCTACATTATTTTAGTAAAAACTAGAGAGTAGAACATTGATTAAATCGCTGTGAAACTGTAAATGAAAACCTAAATAAACTTCTGAAGCGTCGCGTCCCTCTGTGCTTCTATACGAGAGCTTTATTGATCGGCATTTCAAGCGTCTCATCCCACTATTCTACTCCATTTTGTTATTCGATTTTGGCATATTTTTCATTTTCGCCTTTAATTTACCGCATAATTTATTCTCTCTTCCAAATTTAACGTGTATTCGTATTTTTATATCCGGAATGACAAGGAGAGTCGATTTGTGTGATAAACATTGCATAGTTTCATTGATGAAAATATTACATTTGCAATATGCGTATAGAATTTTTTTTGTTTATGATAAAATTATAATTGTCAAAAACTAACTCCAAAACGCATTTTCTATAGCTTTAATGAGAGCTATGCTATGTTTTTAATCTTAGAATCCCTATATATATATATATATATGTAGTGCTCTTTTACAGTATTCAACCATGTTTGTTTACCATTTATTTCAGAGTATTCAAATTACCAGCAACAGGGGTACAATCAGTACAGCCAGCCACCACCTACTGGTGGTCAGGATACATCGTATCCACCACCATCTAGTGGTGGTGGCAGCTATAATCAGTATAGCCAACCACCACCAAATACTGGAAGCAACTATGGCGGTTACAACAGTTACAATTCCAGCGGTGGCCAAGACTACAATCAGCCGCAGAACCAGAACAGTTAC